ATAATAATAATAATAATAATAATAATAATAATAATAATAATAATAATAATAATAATAATAATATAATAATAATAATAATAATAATAATAATAATAATAATAATAATAATAATAATAATAATAATAATAATAATAATAATAATAATAATAATAATAATAATAATAATAATAATAATAATAATAATAATAATAATAATAATAATAATAATAATAATAATAATAATAATAATAATAATAATAATAATAATAATAATAATAATAATAATAATAATAATAATAATAATAATAATAATAATAATAATAATAATAATAATAATAATAATAATAATAATAATAATAATAATAATAATAATAATAATAATAATAATAATAATAATAATAATAATAATAATAATAATAATAATAATAATAATAATAATAATAATAATAATAATAATAATAATAATAATAATAATAATAATAATAATAATAATAATAATAATAATAATAATAATAATAATAATAATAATAATAATAATAATAATAATAATAATAATAATAATAATAATAATAATAATAATAATAATAATAATAATAATAATAATAATAATAATAATAATAATAATAATAATAATAATAATAATAATAATAATAATAATAATAATAATAATAATAATAATAATAATAATAATAATAATAATAATAATAATAATAATAATCCTTACAGGATTGTGCTGCCAGGAGGCAAAGAAGTATCACATTCAGACCATGAGATAGAACTGCATGCTTCTCCTAATGTTAATCTGGAAACAGAGTAGACCACACTTTCATGATGCAACTTCATATCTTCAACAAGAACTATTGCAGGAGGCGGGCTTAGCAGTTGCTGCATAAGTTGTGTAGTCAAGACAAGTCTTCTTTTTGCCTTCACCATCACTGATAGATCTTCAACAGCACCAGCTTCAACCTATTAATTTTAGCAGAGTAAGGAGAAATCATTAACTAATGAATTTATTATATTTATGAGTTGTGAACTGATAAAATTATAAACAAACCTTCTCAGCCAATCTGTTTGCAGTTCGGGCCCATAATAATTCCGCCGCACTGCCAAATAATATGGGATATATGTTATCTATCGATAAAAATGAATTCATGCTAACATAGCAAAAAAAGAAGGTATTCCTCTTTCAAAACAATAGGAAAAATGTAATATAAGATGAAGAATCTTCCCCAAAACCAACATTGGCAGTAAAAAATGCATTAAATGACTGACAACCACCTGAGATCTCGAAGCCGTTCAGAACCCTGAGTAACTTCTTTATGCCATGACAGGAGTCCAGATATGGAACTTTTACGCTTCTTTGAACTAAAACTAAGTAAGTCAGGTTCACCCATAGGAGTTGATAACTGAGAACATACATTCTCACTCTCAACTGAAGCAGGCATTGGAGTATGCCTGGTGCTACCAAGTTGAGCATCACTACGACTATTAACTTGCTCTACTGAATTTTGGAAATGCAGACTATCTGATTGGTTTGGTATAATGAAAGGTTGGTCCATAGTCTTCGCAGCAGTTATCTTCTGTGCATCATAAACAGGCAATATCTTACCATTCTTAAAAGCTCCATATTGTTCAAACCGCGATGGTGCCATCTGAGGATTTATTGGATAATGACCACTTCTGATAGAAACTGCTTTATTACTATCTGAAACATTAACAGATTTTTCCTGATCATCTCCAATCACCTCTTGAGAAGTTGCATTTGTGTTCTGTACATTATGTGGCTTTGCTGACAAGCATAACATACTGGGATCTGATGATGTGATGGAAGAATAATTTCCAGATACATCTTTGACCACATTGTTATGTCCATATGACAATTGTTGTTCCTGGTTGGAATCTATCTGCTGTTTGTTTGGCATATTATCTGAAACTTTCAATCTCTTGGCTTCCCGATTACTAGGATCAATCTCCATGTTTCTCATGGATTGGACTTGATTCAGGGAGGAGAAATTGTAATTCAAAACATTGTTTGGTCTTAAAGACTGACCTAGAGCCTCATTGTCTCTAGAGGTCGCATCTAGGTTTGGTTGAGAAGCATCGGATACACATTTCACAACAGGGTCTATCATGTGTGATGGAAATGCAGCATCTTCAGCCCCAATGGAAGATAATCCCTTACCATCTTTCTCTGGACCCTGATCACCTGGATTGCTGGAGTCAGCTACCATTCCACAGTTGTTAATTTGTTTGGGCAGTGATGAAATCTTCAAAGCATTAGGATGTTGCCTGCTAGAAACACTGGTCCATAAATTCTGCATAACATTCAAAGGGGTGCCATGCAGGGATGCAACATATATACCAGAAGGCTGACTGGCTCGAATTTGTTCTGTACCACTTGGCTGGGACATGTCCTGAGCAGATGCAATTTCAGGTTGACTAGCTTGAGCTCTTTCACCGTATTCATCTATCTGATTCGAGGAAGCCGGCTGATTATTTGTTACTTGTCCACCAAGATGAGCTATATTCTGATTCTGATTATAGTTCTTGGAGAATGGAAATCCAGATGTAAAAGCCGGTGGAATGTTCCCTAGAACACTGTACTGAGAAGCCTTACCAAAAACTTGCCCTGTGGTACTAGAAATATTATCCCTATTCTCCCCAGGAGATGACTCTTGAGGAGGAAAAGTCTGGTTAGTAGCCAACCATGTATGCCCCTGAGTAGGTGGAGCCAATTGTAATCCAAAGCCCCGAGTCGAAGAACTTTGATTCCTCTGAGGATGTGCAGCAAACCCATCTGAAGATTCAGTTTCAGGCACCCTGGAAGAAAAATTATGGTCAGAGAGGCTTTTGTCTGTTGGAATGTCACCCCCCGTGACTGATCAATTCAAAACTCAAGAAATTTTGAGATGCAACAATTTTAGCAAACTGAAGTAAGCAGTTGAGCTGGGGTCATCACGTAAACATGAAAAGTATATATAATATAGTGCATGAAGGAAATAAAGAAAACATGTATACAAATGCTGGTTAGACCAGAAGTTTAGCAAATGAAAAGGTCTTAAAAATCATGTCATCTTTGCTTTTGATTACGGAAAGTGGAATTCTTTGCTTATGATTACGGAAAGCGGAATATTTCTACAATAATTAATCATGTCATCTTTGCTTATGATTACGGAAAGCGGAAAGTACCATATCATGGCTACATTCATATGTTAAAAATGCTAGGAAAATTTAAAATTGAGTACCTGGGTAAAGCAGTATTCTGCAAGGCATAATTACCGACACTTCTATCCAATGGGGTCATTGTTTTTGGGATTTGCATAGGGAGTACGCTTTTTTGAAACATTGTTATCCAACCTCTCTGACTCACCCTGAAAATCAAGTGCCACTTCAGTCACATTTTAAAGGACATAAACAACTTCCGGTTCTCTAGGACATAGAGATAAGCTAGTATGTGACACTAGCATGTATAAGTATAAAACATGGTATCTTAAAAATTACCTTCTCTGTTTCACTATAATTCACGTCAAAATGTCCATGCTTTGATTGCCCAAGAGAGCTATAGATATTTCCCTGATCTTTAAGTCCTCCAAAGTGGTGATGGTTCATAGCTTGTGAATTTATGACCTGTTTGTTTCCATACGGTTCCACTTCAACACCGAGATCCCCCATCGGATGATACTGAAATTTACGAGTTATGGAAGATCCTTGATGTGCCTGACCAGCTGACTTTGGGCTATGCAAATCATTGCCATCAAAATCTGCATTTTCTCTCGTTACTACCATCTCTTGGATGAGAAGATTAGATCCAAGACCATCTTCTGATTTTTCAATTTTATTACAGTCATCCGCATCATCTGCATCACCTTCAAATTTTCCATTCTTAGATGATTCTAAAATTAAAGGGTTCTCCATATGATGCTTGTATTTTCCTGGACCTTCACTTCTTTTATAGCTATCTGCTGATTCAGAATCTCTACATACATCAATGTTAGAGAGCTTCTTGCTGCTTGGCTGGCTGAACCATGCAGGGACCGAATTTGGCAATGCGGCAATACCATTCATACCAGAATCCTCCCGACAAATTTGCATGTTATCAGTAGATTTCTCATGTTCCAACTCAGCAGATAAATTAGCATCAGAATTAGACTCCCATGAAGCAGGTACCTGGCTCATCTCTTCATGCACAGCTTTCTCATCATGGTGCTTCAATGAGTTTTCATTTTCATGGGTTTTGAAAGTAGAACTACTATCAAAAGGGGTTGAGTTTGTAACGTCCCACCCATCAGACTTATTGAACGGACCACCACTACCACTACATGATGATATGGTGGGTTGATGTGTCCAATAATCTGATAGAACCTTTTCATTTTTTTCTAAACCTGAAGAGTTGGTAGTTTTTCCATGTATATGACCACCTTCAGAGAACTGTTTTTGCTGAGGACTGCAATCTAACCACCTGCCTCTTTCTAAATACTGTGGAATTGGTCTCTGAGAATCGGTCTGTAATCTGTCATGATGTTCATGTGAAGAGTCAGGACCTGACTGATGTAATTCAGAAACACTACAATGGTTTTCAGCTGTTGGGGGCCTACTAACATCATTGGGCTGAATAAAAGGTCTTGAATTTAAATTGGAAGGTAATTGCAAGTTATTGTTAGCCCAAACTGATTGCTGTTTGCTGCCATCAGTAGCTGAAGGTTGCTCATTTCCAGATAACTGCCCCATATTCCGAAAACCTAGACCACTCCACTCCTCCTGGATACCCACATCACTACTAGATGTTTCTGCCACAGCAGACTGCATAAGCGCACTCCAACTCCCACTCTGAAGGGATGGAAATCCACTAGAACTATCTGTACCATCCAGCATATTAAAGTCACCTATATTCGCACCAAATCCATCCCACAAGCTATCATCTGAGCCAAACAAAATCTTCTCTTCAGTTGGATCTAGTGTAGCTACGTTCTGTGAAGGAGGAACCTGCACTTTCTTGTCTTGTGATGATAGCTCTGAAGATCCAGCTAGTTCTTGTCTCCCATTAAAATCTTGCATTGATACAATTCTTTGCTCAGAATTCATTTGCTGCAAGTTTTCCACATTGACTCTACTATTTATACCCCGACTATTTATACCCCGACTATTTATACCCCGAGCAGTAGGTCCAAACATGCTCTTTTCTTGAATATCCTGTCTTGAAACTAAAGGTCCATCGTTTGTGTTACTTTGATCTGAAAATGCAGCATATTGGTGAGCTGGAAATGAATTACCCCCTGCTGTTATATGTGACAGTGTAGATTTGTTCCCATGAACGTGAGAGTATTGCTGTGGGAAAGAAACTTGAGGCATTGCGGGCTTATCTGCTTGAAAATGATAATAAAGGTTAGGAGTGCCTCCTGAACCAGATACTGGAACACCATAAAGAGACTGGTCTCCTCCCTGATTATGAACCAAACCCATCATGCGCAATGCTTGTCCTTGTTCGGGAGATAACATAAGCCCATTAGAGGACCCGTGCATAACTGGAGATGCACCACGCTGGAGCCAATTTGCATTACTTGGTGTAACATCAGGCTGCCACATAAAATTAGATGCCTCATTTACGGGATTTCCATTAATAAGAGACGTGGAATGGCCAGTAACTGTCTGTTTTGAAATAGACTGGGCTGGGGCCATAGAATTATGTTGCTTTGCTTCTAGTTGATGAAATTGTTGCTGCCTCTGAAGTTCTTGCATCTGGTTAAGTAATGCTTGCTGCTGTAATAGATGCATTTCATTTATTCCTGAATGCGGTCTAAGTAAAGGCTGAAGCATTCCATTCTGGCGGCCACTTACTTGCTGTTGACTTCCAAAGAAATCAAAATTGACAGGAGATTCACCAGCATCATTCCTAGCTAAATTTTTCTTATAAAACTCAAGACCACTACTCCCTTGTGACTCTGGCACAGGTGTCCCTCTTGATAGGCTGTGCCAATCAGATTCTGTATCCACTCCCATAATATTAGATCCACTGTGCCTGGTCTGGAAAACCTGTTGTCCCTGCATGTAGCCACTTACAGCTGCTTGTTGGTTTGGCAGCTGATTTCTTCCAGACTCAGACCTCAAATTTGATTGAGATAGGTTCAGACTATGACGCATATGTGGAGAGCTTATGTGTCCCTGCTCCGAATCTTTGTGACAGGGAAGAAAGTGTAATCAGTAATTAATAAAGACAGTCTCAAACAACATTACAAAGTCAAACTTCAACATCATTGTTTTAGCAATTTAAAACTTAAATGTATAAAAAAACTGGATAACGACGAAAAAATTATAAAATAAATGTTGTAGAATCTCTACCAGATTGCTGTTGATTAAAATTCTTCAAATTGGAAATAAAAGGCACACCAGTCGATCTCTGGCTGCCAACCCATATATTGTTGTTCAGTCCTGGCCAGTTCCCATCAACCGCTTGTGAATGATACTGTCCCTGGGACAAGTTTTCTTGACCAAAAAAATTATGGACCCTGTCTACTGCTTCGTTTCCAGGCATAGATAATCCAGCCCACAAACTTTAAGCATGTAACTATTTAAAAGAATGCTTGACCAAGAAACAAATTTTTTAACAACCTAAGTAGAAGGAAGATGTCCAAGAACGCAACTCCGATCAACTACAATTAAAACCTGAAAATTATTAAAATATCCCTGCAAGTAAAAATCCATTTGGTATCAATTAGTTACCAGAATAATTGTGAAAAGATATGGAAATACAACAATAATAGACCATAATTGGGCACTCTTAATAAAAAAATGTATCATGCCATTTAAGTTGTTGTCTTTTTATACAAGAGAAAAGGGTTACAATATTGGACAGCAATCCTCTTAATGCAAATTAAAGGGTAGCGAGGACTTCAACATCAGTGAATTGCAACATGTCTTACAAGCCAACAATTTAAGACGCAAAATTAGCTCTTCAAAAAGGAATTTTATATAACAAGAGAAAAGGTTACAAATTGGAAGACAATCCCCTTAATGCACATTAAAGAGTAATGAGGACTTTGCACAGCAGTGAAATGCAATGTCTCACAAGCCAGCAATATAAGATGCAAAATTAACTTTTCAAAAAGGAAAGTTCATGATAATCATATAATATTTCTAGCTGAAAAAGTCTAGTCAAAAGCAAAAACTTAGTAGGCATTCAATCTAGCTATTTGTGCTATGTCATACTTAAACCAAAATTTAACTATTCCTGCAACTTACAATCACGTGAGTAGTCACTCACAGTAATTCTTCAAATGGAAAATCAAAGGTACAATTCATTGCAAAATTATAACCAGTTAATATGCCAAGGAGAATCCAAGAACTTCTAATCATTTCATTTGTAGTCTCAAAACATTCCCCTTTGCATGTGTGCACATTAACTTTAAAGACAAATTACACTGATCACAAGAATTTGTCATCTTTTTCCATACCTATCAAATTCATATGGCAAGCAAAAGTTTCAAATGTTTTTAAAGTGGGAAACCTATTTCTATTAACCAAACTTAAATTAACTAGAGATTATTCATAAATAAAGTATTTACATGAATCAAGTTGTGAGGAGAAGAAAATGGAAGACGGGTGAAGCTATGTGAATTAGTGCATTAATTCTTTATACCAATAACATCATGAAAGCATGAAGAACATTAGGAATCATTACAACATATTTCTCACTTATGTTATATTTACAAGAGCATCAAGTAGATTTACATATGTGAATCTCTATCCTTCCTGTCCCTCTAACTCTAGTTTGTGTGTGTGTGTGGAATAATTTCATTGTTTATCTCTGTTATCTCAAGATGCAAATAATTAGTGTACATTGAGGCCCAAACTCCAAAATCATTATAACTTTGCTTGCCCGTGTCACCTGACTCTATTGATGCTAAGGCAAACTAATGAAAAAATAGAAGAAGAAAAAGTCATACAATTTCCCAATAGATTCATGCAGCCACTTCAAAAAACAACCAACTAAGTCAAGTGACAAAGCCACAACAACAACCAAATCATTAATACTGGGATTGCCTACATGAATCAAACACCACAGTTTCCTACCTTAAATCATGTGTCTCTAATTAATGAAAGATCATTTAATCATTACGTCCTTTTTTTAGTTCCAATTCTAGTCTTCTTTAGTCTTTCTCAACCATAATTACTACCTCATTCTTAAATAGAGGACCATATTGACTAACTTACTAGAATTAAACATGAACACCGAAAACACGACATCAACACTGACACGTCGACATAGATAATAATTTGAAAAAATAAATAAATATAATCAAAAGTGCTGGTGTTGATTTCGGACAAAGACGTCAACACGAACACACCTTTTTTTCAGAGGTGTAATGACACGTCAACACCGATAATTCGTACACAAACGCCGACACTCTCACACATTTTTTTTAGAGGTGTTGGTGCTACAGAGAAATTAAACTTGTATTAGTACTAAATTTATTAACTGTTGGTAATGTTTTTCCAAATTTATCCTTTATGGTACTTATTCTTACTTATTAGATACAAAGACAAGATATAAAATAATTATTAAGAACAAAACTCTTCTGCCCCAAACACTCGCACCTCCTAACCTCAACAAAAAGAAGAAAAAAACTCCAAAATCACACATTCAGAGAGAAAACACACGAGATCGGAAGCTAATACTAGTAATACACAATTACATCTAATAAACACCTTTCTAATCAACAAAAAACTCCAAAAGCTTCCACAATTCCACACACGCGTAGATTCGTTTTTTCTTCACAAAACGATGTTAGAGAGAGAGAAGCTAGGGTTTCTAGAGAGAGAAAGCCAGTGCAGAAACTCACAGAGACAATGAAGAGACTCCATTGAAGAAAAAAGCTGATCCTTGAAGCGCGTTGAGCATCCACGCGTTTGGTTAGGGTTTGAAGGTGAAGAGAAATGGTGGCGCGTTCGGACAGAGATAATGATCGAGAAAATAATAAGTGAGAAAATTTTCAACGAACGAGAAAGATACAGGTTCGGGTGCGGTAGCTGGTGGTTCGGATCCGAGGCTCCGTTTGTTGAGCAATTTGGAAAGCGTTTTGATTGGGAAGAGACGGTGAGAAAAGTTGTTGGGTGTTAAGTTGGTAAAGGCTAAATCAGGTCGCTGTCCAATCAATTTATGACAGGTGGCAATGGTACCAGTGGGACCCGCAATGACCCGTTTTGAACTTGTTTAACTTTTTTTTATTTAGAGAAAACGGGTTAAACACTTCGGTTCCTTTGTTAATTAATGATAAATCATTAATATAAGCCTTCATTTTGTGTGAATTCTTACACCATAGTTTTCGGTTTACTACAAAGTTATCGACAAATTTGAGTTATTTCCACTGATCATGTTTACCGAAAACTTTTTTATTCTATACACACATGAACAATGCTATATAATATTTGAAAGAAATTGTCTATATATCTATTTATATTTATATTAGAGAAAATAGATGATATACTGACTGTATTAATTAATTTTATACTGTCAATCAATCACAATCTTATAATTTTATACTATCAATACATATAAATTAAACCCTTTATATTATTGTTTTATTAAATGTCTAAAATGGTGTATCATCATCAATCAAGTATCTATCTAGCATGGAAGTAATTAATGATCTCTCTAATATACTCTTGTTAACAAAATTATATTAAATTATGCTTATTCATATGATTGATTAAATCAATGATCTCTCTAATATACTCTTGTTAACAAAAATATTCATGTAATTGATTAAATATATTATCCTTAACCAATCAAATTATTCTTCCATACTGGTGACGGTGTTTTTCAATAACAAATCTAAAATATCTCAAATTTAAAGGTCTATGCATTTACCAAAGTAATACTCTTTCTCAAGTTTCAATACATTTCCATCAACCTTTCTTTCAATACATTTCCATTTATCCGAGTAATATATTTCTCATCTCTCGTCTCTCTCATTGTTTTCTTCTATATCTAACCTTCACCATTTACCTTCCTCGGGTTCTCCCATCTTCATAGGCGTTCGACTTTGTTTGAGGTAGGTTGTTTCAATGGTTGATTTCGTTACATGTTTCCTAAAATGTCTCTTTTTTATGAAACAAGTGCAAATCTAGAACAAACGGGTGTTCCTAAAATATCCTTACTTGGCTACGATCATATGAGAACTAAAATCATTAAGAATCTCATATTTTAAAAACAAATTTTCCAAGATTTAAAAACTTGAACTAAACTTAGGGGTGTTCATTATTTTGGGTAAATCTGAACCAAACCGGAATCCAAACTGTGATCGGTGGAAATAGAACTGACTGTTTTTTAAGCTGGTTCGCGAAATGTCGCGGTAAGCAAGAGTCGCCACCGTCTTTTATGTTCTCCAACATGGAAAGGACAAAAGCACAGCAAAATTCCTTCTTTGAGAATGTTTCTCGGTTCGGGAGGTAGATTTATAGAAAGGGAAGGTGTTAGCACCCTTTCTATCCGTGGTTATCCACGGGCTCTTAGGTACTTGCTCTTATGTTTTCAAAAATTGTTTGCTTTTCAAGTGTGTGTGGGTTTTGAAAAAGTTTGTTTTGAAAACTTATAGGTAACTCTTGTATCAGTCCTCAAGAGTGTATGAAGTATTTGTTTGAAAACTTTTTGAAAGTGTAGGTGCGAAAAGTTGTTTTTGTTTTTTTGAAAGAGCAAGTACCCAGGAGAAATCTACCTACTCTAAGGAATTAAGCTGTGTAAGAATCCTTTAGATAGTGCTATCCCGCTATTGAGAGGTAGGTAGCACCATCGTTGGAGGTATTCGGGTCAATTCGATTATCGGGACAGTGTGGTCACCGAAGCAACGGTAGGACACCTTAGAAGTAACCCTAATGTCCTAGATCCCTTGTATCCGAGGCAACCGTTTTGAGGCAACTGGATCTTTTAGACAGAATGGCGACCTCTAAGACACCCTGTGATACGGTGGGAGAACTGACTTGAGGTTTGCGTTTGTATTCGCAAATGTTGCGGTTAGCAAGAGTCGCCACCGACTTTTTATTTTATCCTAAGGAAAGGTTAAAAAGCACAGCAAAAACCTTTTGAGATGTTTTCTTGGGTTCGGGGAGTAGATTATAGAAAGGGAAGGTATTAGCACCCTTTCTATCCATGGTTATCCATGGGCTCTTAGTTACTTGCTTAGATCACTTGCCTTTTGTTTTCAATTGTTTTAAATGGTGCTTGAGTGTGTGGGTTTTGAAAATGTTTTTGAAAAGAGGCCAATGTGGTGGCTACCTTTGTAATGATCCATGTGGGGATGTATACAAAGATGTATGTCTTTTAAAAAGGTTTTCATTTGTTTTTGAAAGTTGTTTTGAAAGTGTAGTGGATTGTGGTTTTTGAAAAGAAGGCAAATGTTTTGTTTTTTGCAAGTTGGTTCAAGTAACTAAGAGGTTATCTACTCCTAAATTTCTCAAAAGATTATTGTTATACTTTAACCCTTTTAACAAGTTTGCACCACCATTGTATTTGGTGGGCAACCTTGTGTTAGGATG